GTTATGGCAAACAATATCCTGGGACTGAACTTACCCTTCCAGCTGATATGGCAAACAATAGCCTGGGACTGAACTTACCCTTCCAGCCGTTATGGCAAACAATATCCTGGGACTGAACTTACCCTTCCAGCTGATATGGCAAACAATAGGCTGGGACTGAACTTACCCTTCCAGCTGATATGGCAAACAATAGGCTGGGACTGAACTTACCCTTCCAGCTGACATGGCAAACAATAGCCTGGGACTGAACTTACCCTTCCAGCTGATATGGCAAACAATAGTCTGGGACTGAACTTACCCTTCCAGCCAATATGGCAAACTTCGTTAACCTTGATGTTCACATTTGTCGGTTTCGACCTCTTCATGCCGCAGTCGAAAGCTACAACTCTCAGGATGTGATTGTGACTTCGTTCCCATGACAACGGTTCCGTGTTCTTAATACGTCCTGAACAATGATTACAAATTATTAATACATTAATTAATACAATATTAATACATTAATTAATACAATATTAATACATTAATTAATACAATATTAATACATTAATTAATACAATATTAATACATTAATTAATACAATATTAATACATTAATTAATACAATATTAATACATTAATTAATACAATATTTTGGAATCACACACACACACAATAATAATTTATTTAGAAACGCAGAAAACTGTTTTACAATAAAATCACGTGATTTAATTTAAATAATATACAACATTATTATCAGTTTCTAGGGGCAACACATTTAATCTTAATACCAGGTAACATATATAATCTTAATACCAGGTAACATATTTAATCTTGATACCAGTTAACACATTTAATCTTGATACCAGGTAACACATTTAATATTGATACCAGGTAACACATTTAATATTGATACCAGGTAACACATTTAATATTGATACCAGGTAACACATTTAATGTAGAAACAGGATTAAATGTAGTACCTGGTATCAATATTAAATGTGTTACCTGGTATCAATATTAAATGTGTTACCTGGTATCAATATTAAATGTGTTACCTGGTATCAATATTAAATGTGTTACCTGGTATCAATATTATATGTGTTACCTGGTATCAATATTATATGTGTTACCTGGTATCAATATTAAATGTGTTACCTGGTATCAATATTATATGTGTTACCTGGTATCAATAAGCATTGTTAATCTTAATACTAGGAAACAAAATTAATCCTGTTTCTTATAAGCATTGTTAATCTTAATACTAGAAAACAAAATTAATCCGGATTTTACACAGCATAGCTAATGCCGTTTCTACACAGCGTAGTTAATTTTGTTACCAGGTAACACATTTAATATTGATACCAGGTAACACATTTAATCCTGTTTCTAATAAGCATTGTTAATCTTAATACTAAGAAACAAAATTAATCCTGTTTCTAATAAGCATTGTTAATCTTAATACTAGGAAACAAAATTAATCCTGTTTCTAATAAGCATTGTTAATCTTAATACCAGGAAACAAAATTAATCCTGTTTCTAATAAGCATTGTTCATCTTAATACCAGGAAACAAAATTAATCCAGATTTTACACAGCATAGCTAATGCCGTTTCTACACAGCGTAGTTAATTTTGTTACCAGGTAACACAACCACGTTTCTGTATTATCCTTATTATAGGCGGCACGTTTAATTCCGTTTCTGCGCAGTACCATTAAACACATTTCTACGCATCATCTATCCACTTCTTTTGTCAATTTCATGCACAACTACTCAGGATTAACTTGGTTTTTTTTACGTTTAAGTGGAACACACGACCATCCTAAATATTGTCAGTAATCGAAACACCAAAGAAAAATGTTTTGTTTATTGATAAAAAAAGGAGAAAACAAACTGAATTTCCACCAAGGGACAAAACCACATTTTCACAAGTGAAAGAACCAAAAGACATCTTGGGTTTTCTTACTTAGATTCTACAACGCTAATGGTTTTAAAGCAAGAACAAAAATAAAAATTTTACATTAACGTAAAAGCTGCATTTTCAAACTTTCAGTAGTAGCAACACTAGTGTCACACTTAAATATTTAAACTATCATTAAGTTAACTTATTCACATTCACAATCAATTATACTTTAGGCTTAACGTTTGTTTAATATTAGTGATATTTTCTGCTTTCCTAAGATACAAAAGGCAGAATATTCCCCCAAAATCAAATAAGATAATAGACATTACGATTATAATCTACATGTCATTATGACTCCACATGTAATGCTTATGTTCATCAGGCATTAAATCGGAATACTACTGAACTCGGTCATAAAACAAAGTTTGTAAGATATGACGTGTTTCAGTTTTCTTTCTGTTTAGTAGTGTATCCTATTTAATTTGTTTTCAAAAACGTGATACCATTCGAAAGTTGTACGAAAAAACCTTTTTGTTTCTTCGTCTAGGGAAGTTTTAAGATGAACAATAGTTGTGAGACACTAAGACTAGGCTTAGATACATCGAAATAGGCTTAACATAATTGATACTACAGCATAAAGACATGCTACTCAGTTTGTTGAATTCTGGTTTATTTTAGATGTGGACACATTATCTCTCTTAAAATACACCACTCACCAATTTGATCATTTCAGATAAGCTGAGATTATGTTAGATTATTCAAATGTCATCTTCAATTACAGAGGAAAAATGATAGTACTTTCTTTTACATTATAGTGTACATAATACGTTTAAAGTCCATCGAAATAACACAGTGATGTTTGAATACGTTGCTGAATGACACTAATTATCGAGATATTCATGACCACAACATTATACGTTATGTTTCGGTTCAAAAGACGAGAAGGCTAAAAGCAAGGTTAACGAACACGAAGTCTGTTCCATTATTTACTTTACACTTGTTCCCGACAAATCTTCACGTCATAGTGTTGGCTTCTATATATGTTTTCTTCTATCCATTTACGGCTGATTAAATAATATATCATTGTTTCTCCAGTCGTGCATGGTTTGTTTGTAGTTAAGCACAAAGCTACACAATGGGCTATCTGTACTGTGCCCACCAGGAGTATAAAAACCCGGTTTTTAGCCATCTAGG